GTGCAGCCTTCACAGCCCACACGCTGCCAGACGGGTGAAGGGTCTGCTCATCCACCTCCGTGCCAGCAGCCTGGGGACCGAGCGACTCCTAAAAGCACCACAGGCGTCTCCAGCCGCCGGCTGCCCGCTGGGCTCCGCTGTGGGCGCCCAGGTCAGCTCCAGTGTTCTCCTGAGGCCCGAGCTGCCGGAGTTGGTGGGGGAGGAGGGGTGGTTTGGGGCAGGACCAGGGCTGAAGCTGGGCTGTAGACAAACTCGACCTTGACTTAGGTTTGGAGTGGGTCTACAGGTGGCCGGTGAGGGGCTGTCAGCCTTCCAGAACCACCTTTTTTTTTTTGACAGTCAGAGTTAGACAGTGAGAGAGACAGAGAGAAAGGTCTTCCTTCCATTGGTTCACCCCCAAATGGCCACTATGGCCGGCGCTGCGCCGATCTGAAGCCAGGAGCCAGGTGCTTCTCTTGGTCTCCCATGCGGGTGCAGGGCCCAAGCACTTGGGCCATCCTCCACTGCCTTCCCGGGCCACAGCAGAGAGCTGGCCTGGAAGAGGAGCAACTGAGACAGAATCCAGCACCCCAACCGGGACTAGAACCTGGGGTACTGGCGCCACAGGCGGAGGATTAGCCTATTGAGCCGTGGCGCCAGCCCCAGAACCACCTTTCAGGATCTGTTTCTCAGGCAGCCGCCTGTGGCGCGGCCACCTCTCCCTGGCCTAACCAGCAGCACCCCAGGAACCCAGTTTTATGAGCCAAACACAGGGATGCGTGATCAGACAAGGCAGCCACGGCTTCCATGGCTCCCACGACTGGACCTGGAGACTGACCAGAGTGCAAACGCGCCCGAGGGCCACTGCAGGAGCCCGGGCTGGGAAGACACTGCGCTCGGCCCCTCTGGATGAAGTCACAGCTGGCAAGGGCTCCACAGTTCTGCTGGAAGACCCCTGCAGGCAGCCCCCAATCATGGAATTAGGGGAGCTCGGTGCCAGTGGGGTCCCCAGATAACTGACGGAGCCCGTCCTGTCCTGCGGGCTTGAATGCCCCCACACATTATCCGCGGGGGCTGTGCAGGGGCCGCATGGCTCACAGCGACACTGTACAGACCGGGCCTCCACCAGGACTCCTCCTGGGGTGGGAACACCACACGCCGCAGCCCCTGGGCCGAGCCCAGCGCCCCAGGGCAGCCAGCCCAGCTCCAAGGACTCAGGACTGAGTGGACTTCACAGGTACCATGATACCAGAGGATCACGGCAGACGAGCCCGTCCACTCCCGGATCCAGAACTTGAGAACGGTGCCTCACGAGGCTCGGGGACTTGGCCTGTGTGCTTCCCGTAGGGTTTTGGGGTGGCAGCCGGTCGTGAATTGTGCAGGTGGGCCCCGTATCAGAGCACGCGAGAGGCAGAGGAGTCAGAGGGGACGTGGCCATGGAGGCAGAGATGGGGGTGCAGCACAGAGCTCACTGCCTGGGCTGGCTCCCAGCCAGGGGAGGGGCAGCCTCCGGACAGCCAGAGGACGGAGTCTGCCCTGGGGCGAGCTCCACCAGGAATGAATTCCGCGAAGCCCACGCTGGCTTCCGCCCTCCGGGACTGAGATGGCGGCTCTGAGCGAAGTCACAGGAGGAGCACGCGGCCGGGGGCAAGGGCAGGGGTGCAGGGCGCGTGACGGGGCAGAGGCTTCCCGCAGCATCAGAGCCCCGCCCTTCTCCACCGTGTGCTGCACGCCCGGCTTCCCCAAGCCCTCCTGGTGGAACCGGGCGTCTGGACAGCCACTTAGAACGACACTCGCACTTCCGTACTCCTTGTCACGTACACTGGAACACCTCAAAGGTGCCTTGTGTGTGTAATGCTGAAGCTATCACTACCGAGAACAAAGGTGACTTAGCGCTGCAATCTGAAGTGGACTGGGCACAGCTGAGCCCGCATCCCACGCAGGCGTGCCTGGGCTTCCGCCCCAGCTCTGCTGCTGATTCCAGCTTCCCTCTGTGCACACCCTGGGGGGCAGTGGGGGGCCAACGGGAGGCTGGGCTGAATTCCAGGCTCCTGGCCTTGGCCTGGCCCAGCCTTGGCCGTTCCAGGAATTTAGCGAGCAAACCAGCAGATGGAATGCCTCTCTCTCTCACGCGCGCACATCCACCCACGCACTCCCTGTCTGTCTCTAAGTTAACTGGTAAATAGAAACCCATCTCAGGACAGCAGCGGCCCAGGAGAGCACGAGTGACACTGGGGGAGGTGCCAGCCGTTGCTGGGATTTCCTGTCTTGCCCATTTTGCCGAGTGACCCCGCATCCCTCCCAGGAAGCGCCTCTGCACACGTTCATCTTCGGGGTAAACGAGCCGCTTCCCCAAGGACGAGTGCTGGGACGCGGGGGACGCAGGTTCCCTGTCAGCCACGTGGGACAGGGACCAACAGCGAAACCCCAGCCTGGGTGCCCCTCCCCGGGGATCCTTTCACACCCCCTTCCCTGCCTGCAGCAGCCCCCCTTTCTGTTCCCCCACGCGTCCTTTCTGTTCCTGTCCTTCAGGGGTGACCAGAGGGAACACCCACGAAGACGTGTCCAGTGTGGAGCAGCTGGCAGGGGGCTAGGGAGGCCCCACCTCCTGGGCACACAGCCCGGGGTCGGGCCAGCCCCTTGTGGGTGGCCCCTGCTTAGACTGGCTGCCAAGGCACGGAACACGGCAAGTACGCGATGCCGCTGCAAGATGAGGAACCTGGGCCTCTACCTCCCCGGCTCTTCTCAGGCGCTTGGCGAGGAACCGGGGGCCCAGCCCACAGGCCCCTGGGAACAGAATCCCCCAGCCAAGCCTTCTGGTGAAGCCGTGGGTCCTGCCTCACGACAGGCCCCGAGCCGAGCCCTGTGAGGATGGACGGGATCCCCAGGCGCCTCTGTTGCACACCAGCAGGTGGCAAGGCCACTTGGCCTCTGCTGTCCAGGTGGAGGTGGGGGGGCCGTCCTGCTGACCCTGTCGTCTGGGTCCTTACCTGAGTCGCTGTCAGACTGCCTCGGGGGCCCCCAGTGTTCAGGGCCCGGGAAGTGGGGTCTGCATCTGATTCAAGGGACGGACTTCCACCTGGCTTCACCGTGCTCCCCAAGGCTCCAAGTGAGAAGGCAGCCGAGTGAGGGCACGCCTGTCAGGCGTGTGCTGGTGGGCGGGTCGAGTGAGGGCACGCCTGTCAGGCGTGTGCTGGTGGGCGGGTCGAGTGAGGGCACGCCTGTCAGGTGTGTGCTGGTGGGCGGGCCGAGTGAGGGCACGCCTGTCAGGTGCGTGCTGGTGGGCGGGCCGAGTGAGGGCACGCCTGTCAGGTGCGTGCTGGTGGGTGGGCCGAGTGAGGGCACGCCTGTCAGGTGCGTGCTGGTGGGCGGGCCGAGTGAGGGCACGCCTGTCAGGTGCGTGCTGGTGGGCGGGACGAGGGTCTGCTATCATGGCGCAATTCCAGGCACTGTGAGGCACCAGCTCCCCAGGCCAGTTCAGGCCGGTAGGAGCCGGTTTGTGCACTCCAAGGACACCAGTGCACCAGCTCTCTTACAGGCAAACATCTTCCAGGACATCGGGCAGGAAAGCTGAGCGCAGGCCCAGCCCCCAGCATTGGTCAGCGCGGGTCTAACCCAGGGCATAGACAAGTCTGGAAATTGACCCTGGGCACCCTGTCCAGAGAGGATCAGAGCAGCTGGCCCGGGGCCACGCATGTCTCAGCTCCCGCCTCGGCAGACCCGACTGGGTTCCGCGGGTGGTTCCCGGAGCCTTGGAAACAGGCTTCTGGCAGAGAGGCTCAGAGACCCGCCCCACAGGAGTCTCGCCGTGCGTCTGACCGAGGGCCATTCACACAAACTAACCCACTGTGCGTCAGCCGTTCACCCCATCTGCATAACCAACGCTCATCCTGTGGGTCCATCAGACATGATGTGCATTCGATTGAGGACACTGAACGTGGCCCCTGGCCTCCCACGTGCACCAGGGACCCCGCGCACGCTTCTTCCTGGCCTTTCTTTCACACATTCAAAGACGCCGCCCCGAGCCCTGACCCCGACCCCACCCGGACGTGCCTGGGGTACCGAGCCGGCCAGCAGCTCAGGGCAGGCGCTTCTCTGGTTTCACAGGAAGGAAGGCCCGAGGGGCCGAGGTTCTGATGTCCAAACGGAATTAAAATGCGGAGGAAGAATCGGTTTTTCTCTGCGGCCGACTTGCAACACGCACGTAGGAAAACGCGTCCAACAGCGGAAGGGTCGTTCCCTGCCCGCCGACCCCCACGGGGAAACACCGAGACTGTGTCCCAGGCCCTGAAAGGGGTGACGCATCTTGACTCCAAGGTCACCTCAAGGAAAAGGAGAAGCAGACAGAGGTGGATGCGGAAGGGGCCCTGCCGGCTAAGAATGCGTTGGGGAAGAGCCCAGTGCTCCGAAGGCGGAGGCGGCCGGCTGTTTGCACCAGGCTAACTCCGCGCGGCAGGAGGCTGTGACGCGTTAGAAACGTTTCTCAGGAACGCTTAACGTCGGAGAAAGTGTTTCCAACACGAGCAGACAGCAGAGCGCCTCCAATCTGCGTGCATACCGTGACGCGAGTAGCTCTACCACGGGAGCCGACGCACCGAGCCCCGGCAGGCTACCGAGGGCCCTTCCCGGGCACCAGGGCATCGGTACAGGATTTCAGGTCCTGTCTCTCAAGCAACTGTTTTTCCAAATAGCTTAAATCAAGTCTGCGCTGCTTTTCCGATGGGAAAACAGCTGTTTTAGATCACAGCACAGGTGTCTGAGAACTCACCTGGCAGCTTCCTGGGTGTGACCGGCCGAGGGCTCACTCCAACACACGCAGAAAACAGCCCCGTGTGGGCAGGTAGCCTCAGCTCAGCTAAGGAGGGTAGAGCCCCGAGGGGGCGCCCGGGGCGGGACACACAGAGGACCCCACTCCGGAGCCCAGTGCCGGCGCCTCCAGGCCTCTGGGATGGGGGTTCACAGCTCCAGGGAGCAGCCGTGGATGCGGGCTGGCCCGCCGGACGGGGAGGGAGGCGGCTTACCTGTTGCGCGCTGCCTGTGCCAGGCGCTGGCAGGACACGGTGGCGGTGGCATGCTTCCCGCCGTTGCCCACCTCCTGCTTCACGGCCCAGTGCCGGGGCTCGCTGGGCTGGGCGCTCAGGATCCGCACCCCCTTCTTCACCTTGGCTCTGTGGGGAAGCAGAGGGGCAGGAGAGCCACAGGTGAGAGACCCGGCCCGCCCGGAGAGGCGCCCGCTCCGCGGAGTAGCACCAGATCGTTTCGCCTTCCCACGCCTCTCACCGCAGCTGACGCAGGTTCACGGGCGAACCGAGGTGTCAAGGCAGCAGTGGGAGGGAATCTGCCCCAGACGAGCGCTCGTGACCTCGCAGCCCAGGTCCAAGGGCAACAGGTCCTGGACACTCCCTGGACGGCAAGGTGCAGGGGGAGCACAGGCGGGACCTCCCTGGAGGGAGGCGACAGCAGTCAGCGCCTGTCGAGTGTGGATTCCGAGTCTGACTGCTCCGTCTTCTGCGAGAATCGTACATGGCTGGGCACGTGTGGTCACATGACAGCTCTATAGGGATGGCTGCCACCATCAATCCTTAGTCACGGAGGGGCGAGGCAAGGCCCAGGAAAGTGAGCCCCCACCCCGAGAAACTGTGCACCCCCTCTCAAGTGGGCTTCTTGCAGGCACATCTGATGAGGTATGAAGTGTTTGCTGTCACAGCTCGGGGAGGGGGGGTGGATGCGGCAGGACGCAGGACGGCTTCCACCCCCGCCACCAACCCCACAAACGTCCCACCCAGACCGGCAACAGCGCCCAGAGCTGAGGATTCCCGGGACACGTTTGTCGCCACCGCACCGCTTTGTAGCCAGGTGACCTTGGGGGAGGAACAGCCGTGGGCCTGGCTTCACCCCTCTGTGACCAAGCACTGGTGGTGGCAGCCATCACCGTAAAGCTGCTGTGTGGCCACACGTGTCCAGCCACGTACAATCCACACAAAGACCGGAGCAGACTCGGAGTCCACACTCCACACGCGGCTGCTGTCACCTCCCTCCAGGGAGGTCCCTGAGCACTTCCTGTGGCCTGGCTCAGCCTCCACAAACATGAATGAAGACCACGGCTCTCCACATGTGCACCTGCCCACCTGGACGCGTCCATCCCCCCCTCAAACGCCAACCCCTCCACGTGAGCCTCGGTCTTCCTGTCAATCAGCCAACAAAGACAACGGCACGCTGCGCACGAACACCTCCCCGTGCTCTCTCAGGCCCCTCACGGAGAACAGAAGGGACGCTAACGCAGGCGTGTGCCTGCGCACGGAGAGGAGGGGCAGCGGCAGCAGCTCCCAGAGTGTGCAAAGCAGGTGCACACGGCAGGATGCGCCCTTGGCCGAGGGCAGGTGGCCACTAGAGGGCGCTCTCCGGCCTGGGCCTGGGGGAGGGAGCATCAGGGTGCCATGGGGAAACAGGTACACACTGAGCAGTTTCTCTCTCCCAGGCTGGGATCCCAGAATTCCAGAGAATTCCACCAGTCTAGGAGCAGAAACAGGAGGCTGCTGACACCGAGGTGCCTCCAACCACCCAAGGGTCCCCTTCCGGTCAAGCCTGTGGCTGGCAAGTCCTGGCCGTGGCTCAGTTTTTCGTCGCTGGTCAGCCCCTCCCACCTTGCATGAGAGGCAGGCAGGGACGGTGGCACGCCATAGCAGGTGAACGGGGCGGGCCGGGGCCAAGCCAGGGGGGGTACGGCCCCTGCAGGGACGCGCATGATTGACGGACGATTGTCCACACCCTCAGGGGCAGCAGACACAGGGTGCTCACGGAGCTCACGCCGAGGGGGTCAAGCACAGACACACCGCTTGAAAGGGAAGATGGCGGGTGACCGAGGATCGGGTTGAGAAAACGCCCCGGGAAGCCGAGGAGAGGCCGATACAGAGGAGACTCCCAGGTCCAGCGCAGCAGAAAGTAGGACAGGAGGGGACCATGAATGGACAAAAGGACAGGAGTTCCGAGCTCTGGAAGAGCCCACGGCCAGGCGGCACGATGGGACGTAACGGACCCCGGCCCCTGGGCCACACGGGTCAGCACGGTTCAGACACTGGGTGCGGGGAAGTCAGATCGACAGTCTCGCAGGCCGGGAGGGGGCCTGCATCAGAATGGATTCAGAGGTCACAGCACAGAGTGGCCACAGGAGCCTGGCGCTGGCCCTGCCTTGGGAGAGGGGCTCGGCTGCTTCTTGTTCGTCCCTGGGGAGGGGGCACAGCTCAGTGGCCGTCGGTGTGCAGCTGGTGTTGCAGGTGGCCGGGAGGTGACCTGGGGTTCCCAGAGTCAGCACCGTCGGCACCACGGGCACCGTCATTCTCCATTTCCTGCCTCGGTGCCGAGCACGGTGCCGGACTCGGGGATTCAGGAGTGGGCTGACCGGTGGCGCCTCTCGTCCTGTCTGGGTACCTGCGTGGGCCGCGTGCCGGGCGCACAGCACGCTCACATTTGCTGCACCCGTGCAGGACACGCCCCTCTCCAGAACGGGCTGGCACCGGGTGCTCCTCGGGGAGGTCAGTGTTCAGCACAAAACTCCCACCCAGGAAGCCCAACCTCCACCCTCCGAGCCATCTGTCGGGGGTGCCTGCAGTCTCTCAGCTCCCCCAGGGCGCTGGGAGCTGCGGGCTCTGTGTGGGCTGGGGGTGTAGGTGTGGCCTCGGCCCCCGCCCCAGGGGTGGGAACCATCAGCTGCTATTCGGGCTTCTCTCCCCCAACCTGCACCTCGGAGGGCGACCTCACAGGAGACAGGGCCTGGGCCGAGTAACGGAGCTACGGGAGGGCGCTGGGGCCTCTGGGAACCTCACGGACGCTGTGGGGACACAGAGACGCCCTCTGCCAGCCAGGAAGGCGGGCCTGGCGGCTCCTCCTGGGGGACCTCAGACCTGGGACAGAATCCACTCCTGGGGGCTGAGGCTCTGGGGGTGCACCTTGCTGCAGCTGACGACACAGAAGGGAAGGCGGAGTGCCGGCTCCACAGTCCAGCCCGGCCTGGCCCGGCTCAGCCCGGCCCGGCCCGGCCGCCGACCGTCTTTCCACCAAGCAAGGCTGGTCTGTCCCTCGTCAGCGTCTGTCCCCCCCCTCCCCCCGACGGCTCTCGGAGAGCGGCAGAATGCCTGCGAGAGACAGGCTCTGACCCAGGACCAGCGGTGTCACCCTGGCCCTGCAAGTCCCCTGAGTGGGCGTGGCCACTGCTGGGGTCACTGTGGCAGCCAGGCCACCAGGTGCCCACCAGCGGTCAGCCTTGGGCTGAGCGTGCACTTGGTCTCCCCAGGTTTCGTCGCCTGGCCCTCCCTCAGATGGCTGGCTCGTTTGCACACGCTGGAACGACACTGACTTTACAGTTTGTCTTTCCATAACTACCCCGCCCCCGCTCCCGCTTGTTGCTTTAGAAAAGCTCTTTGGAAAAGTACCTCTCCATGCAATGCGGGCAGGTGCACAGGGAGCTCCTGAATCCACCGGAGCCAGCCAGCCACGCACCTTCCCACACGCACCCTCCTGTCCCAAACCACCCTGTGCGCACAGGCCTTCCAAGCACGGGAGGGAGGGGCGCAGCGGGGCCCAGCGCAGTGAGGATGCTGACACACCGGCTCCTGTGTTTCCCTGCACAGCCTGAGCTGGGTGCCAGCCCCCGCCCCCACCCCGTCCCCTACAAGGGGCCCCGCGACTCTTCAGCCCGTGCACCAGTGTCTTCCTGAGCCGGGACCACTGAGCTGCCGGGGGCTGGGTCCCTGTTTCCTGCCCACTCCTGCCGCACCCCATCACTCCGTGCTGAACTACCTGTCAGAGCAGACCTGTGCCCCGAGACTGAAGCCGTCAGGAACCCCTCTCCCCAGCTCTCCCCAGCTCCAGTGGGGCTCGGCCAAGTTATCAGAAGGGCAAGGGTGGGGATTTTAAAGGCACAACCAGTTTGCACTCTCATGCCCAGCAAACAAGATTTCCTATCAGAACAGGTCTCTGTGATCTCAGGAAGAAACGCATTTATAGGGCTGGCGGGTTCAGCAGAATCCACTCCAGGCTCACATGCCTCGCTGGATTATGCTGACGTCGGTTCCTCTGCTCATTAAACTGACACTCGTCGGAGATACCCACACATTTGTCTTGCAGAATAGCCACGTGCTGGGCTGTCGGATCTTTGAGCTGCCTCCCTCCTGCCTGCACATCCTGGATGTTCCCTGTCAGCTCTGGGAGTGCAGCCAGGTAAGGGCTGCACCCCTGTCTCCCTGTGAGCTCTGGGAGTGTGGTAAGGTGCGGGCTGCACCCCTGTCTCCCTGTTAGCTCTGGGAGTGTGGTCAGGTGCAGGCTGCACCCGTCTCCCTGTGAGCTCTGGAAGTGTGGTCAGGTGCAGGCTGCACCCCTGTCTCCCCGTCAGCTCTGGGAGTGTGGTCAGGTGCGGGCTGCACCCCTGTCTCCCTGTTAGCTCTGGGAGTGTGGTCAGGTAAAGGCTGCACCCCTGTCTCCCTGTCAGCTCTGGGAGCGCGGTCAGGTGCGGGCTGCACCCCTGTCTCCCTGTCAGCTCTGGGAGTGTGGTCAGGTGTGGGCTGCACCCCTGTCTCCCTGTCAGCTCTGGGAGTGTGGTCAGGTGCGGGCTGCACCCCTGTCTCCCCGTCAGCTCTGGGAGTATGGTCAGGTGTGGGCTGCACCCCTGTCTCCCTGTCAGCTCTGGGAGCGCAGTCAGGTGCGGGCTGCACCCCTGTCTCCCCATCAGCTCTGGGAGCGCGGCTAGGTGTGGGCTGCACCCCTGTCTCCCCGTCAGCTCTGGGAGTGCAGTCAGGTGTGGGCTGCACCCCTGTCTCCCCATCAGCTCTGGGAGCGCGGTCAGGTGTGGGCTGCACCCCTGTCTCCCCGTCAGCTCTGGGAGTGCAGTCAGGTGTGGGCTGCACCCCTGTCTCCCCGTCAGCTCTGGGAGTGCAGTCAGGTGTGGGCTGCACCCCTGTCTCCCCGTCAGCTCTGGGAGTGCAGTCAGGTGTGGGCTGCACCCCTGTCTCCATCAGCTCTGGGAGTGCGGTCAGGTGCAGGCTGAACGGCTAGGTCAGGACGCATGCAGAGGTGCGTGCTGTTGGCCGCTGTGTCCTGTGCTAAACTATTCATGAGATGAGTGCATGGGAGGCAGCGTGTGCCTGCGAGGCGCGCTGCTTGGCCGTCAGTCTGG